AGACATTCACTGTATGCAACAAACAAGAACACATCATATCTCGCTGCACCTAAATATAATTACACTCTCATATGGGACATACACTGTACAGTAAACGTCTTACATTGTTACAAGTAGTGAAAAATGTGCTGGTGTCTTTCACACGAAAGGAAACAAAAATACATGCACACATGGCTCTTTTTCATAACATGAGCTTAATGGTAAACACCATACGACCAATCAGATATTTCCTTTGTGTAATAAAAGTCAATATGATAACGTCACCAGTCAACACACGCTTTACCTGTATATCCCCTTTGACCTGACAGTTGCTATGGTCAGGTCATCGTCAAGTATAAACAGACGTCATACATTTGTGTATTATTTATCAGTTATATATGTGAAAGGAAGAAACAAGACATATTTCAGGACTTACTATAAAAAACCCTTATATCTATCAAAAACTTACATGACAGTAGACCAGTTACAGACTACAGTAATGGGGGTTTATGCTACTGGGATCACTGCTAATAAGAGATGAAGCGCCAGGAAGTAGATTAGAAAATGAAAATCAAAACAGTTTATTTTAAGCCTGATTCAAGATCAATATAAACAGCATCACAACTTTCTACACCTTGTGCACTAAGAAAGAGACATTAAGACATGGCAGAAGCACCGGAAACACATATTTCTGATAATGTGTTGACATCCCAGCAGTCAAACGACGTTAATTCAATGTTGATTAAACGTTAATTTACGTGGATCAACGTTGAATCAACATAGAATCAATGTCGTTTGCCTGCTGGAATGTAACATCTGTCTGGGAGAGTATAAGGACCCCCGTTCCTCACAAAAAAGTCCTAAAGGATCCTATAGGACTTTTTCGTAAGGGGTGTGCTGCCTTGCTACCATACATTTTGCTGTAGTTGTATATCTGATCATGCTGAAAGATATCTCACTCCAACTTCGATCGTGCCTCTGCACCCTGTTGCATACATATCAAGACAATTAATTACCTCCGCAAAGGTAGTTATGTTTTCACCCCTGTTTGTCTGTCATCAACATAAAGTTAAGGACCGAGTTTGATGAAATTTTCAGGAACTGTCAGAAATGGGCCAACAAAGAGATGATTAGTTTTTGGTGGTGAACCGGATCTATAACCAGCCAATAATCAATAATCAACAATCAATTATCAATCATCAACGTAAGTCAAAAAGTTATGGACCAATTTTGATGAGATATTTAGGGTAGGTCAGAAATGAGTTAACTTAGAAGTGATTAGGTTTTGGTGGTGATCCGGATCAATAATCAAACAATAATCAATAATAATAATAATGATAAATTGCCAAGGTGGCGGAGGTGTGCGCTCTCGGAGTGCTTTTCTAGTTAACTTTTATTTTTGTAGGGTGGTGGGTCAAGGAAAACGAGCCTCATATAGGAAATCCTGTATCCACCTCTGGGAAAATAACATCAGAGCTTGGACAGGGCTGCAGCAGCATCCTCAGGAAAGCAGACGACAGATGGGAGTACAGGCAGCTATGTATAAGAGTTAAAACATTCTCAATCCCCACAGTGTTACATGAAGAAACACTTGTCACCTTAATACCCTTATGAAAATTTCTTATAGGATTTCCTATAAGATTTCTTATAAAATCCTATAAGATTTCCTATAGGATTTCCTATAGAATCCTATAGGAAATTGTCCCATTTTCCTATAGGATCCTATAGGTAATCCTATAGGAAATCTTGTAAGATCCTTTAGGAAATCATATAGGAACCTATAGGATCCTATAGGAAAACCTGTAGGATCCTATAGGCAATCCTATATGAAACCTTATAAGAATTCTAAAGGACATCTTATAGGAACCTATAGAAATTCATATGAACTGCTTTGAATATTTTTACAGCTTTTTTATATATTGTTGGATTATTGGCAAAATTGGTATTAGGCACTGGTCCCTCAAAACAAAAGAGAATATCATGTTTACATTCTTTATTCAATATGTATAAATGTATGTACATGTTCCACAGTATGGTATGCGACCAGCTTACTAGAGAATTGTTTCATAGATTTTTGCAAATTTAACAGTGTTGCTACTGCTTTCTAACTATAAGTTATATAAGTTATCACAAGGATCCAATATGTCTGGTCAAGCTGTGGCATCACTGCCTTTGCTTGTGTGCGTTCGAACTCCTGCCAGAATGAGTGGCTAAAACCTTCCTTGGCCAGACTGTGTCCATTGTCAGCATACTGCTGTAGTTACTTAATAATTCAAGACTTTCAGACAAAAGTCTTTTGCACATTGCTCAACTTAGCTGTGATAGCCTTCTTAACCCCCGTCTGAGTTTGTGAATTTCAATTAATTGTCTACAAAAATGCAAAATGATAAAGGAAAAGTTTTTGTAATGAAATCAATAATAATCATTGCACCAATACTATTTTGAACATTTCATAGCCTTTATTAGTTAACTGGATATTTTCAAAGACGAGATATTAAAGCTGTATAGTTTGTTAAAAATATATATATATATAAAGAACCATGAACATATTTCAAAGGACCATGCAAGCCCACAGAAACAATTAGAAACGAATTTTGAAATGCGGAAATCCGCAGTGGAGAAAACTCTACTCTGGTTAAATATGCAATTCGACCATTACAGAGCTGCCAGGGCTAAAAAAAGTCCCAAAAACTCATAGAAAACTAATTTCCGAGGGTAAACAGTAATTCCCTATTCTCGCCCCTCTTTGCTTGACCTAAATCATCAGTCCAAAGCTCAAAAAAGCAACCTCCATGTTAAAATTTATAGCTTTTGTGTAAGCACAATGGTCAGATTTTCACAATGCACAATTCATTTCCATTTTGTATAGGTTAGCAAAAAACTATTTTTAAACAAACTATGGTGTTTACCTCACATTAAGGGTTGAAAAGAAACTAAAGGGAAAGAAAACTTAGCAAATAAACAATCCTGAAGAATATGTTAGGTAATAAATTTGCCCTGACAGCCCCTCTAATATGTTAATTTTATGTTATTTATTAGCATGGGTCTTTTTCAGTTGTATATATATCATGATAGTCCCTTGGAGGCAGTTAAGGATAACATTAAATAGATAATTTTTAATAAATCACAAACCAAAAGCTAAATGTAATGTAAAGTGTTTTTATTTTTTAGATTCAACTGCATTTAAAGAAATATTTTGATGAGCAATTGATCACAATTTAATAAGAAATAAATAGACTAAACAGTGATTGCATTCTGTATCATTGTTTCTTTGTTGGCTAAAAGGGAAGTATACATTATAAATTATAACTTGTTTAATGTAATATAGATATGATGTTTACAAGGTACACTGCAAATTAGATCAATTTTCTAATTTTCAATTTGATTAGATGCCCAAATGATCCAATACATTACTGTAATACATACCTTCCTCAATCCAGTTTTTTACACTCTGTACCCTTCCACTATGCTCCTGAATTTAAACTGTCTTGATAGCTGTATACTCATTTGCCGCTTGTCTCATATAAACAAAAACTTAGACAGGATATCACACATCTGATAACAACAAATAGGTGGTTAATGTTTACTGGTGTAACAATAGCTACAGAAATAGTGACCTAATAATAGGTGCCAGGCTAACAAAAGAAATTCACATTTGTTAAATCTGTGGTTATGGCTGGTGGAGTAGGGCATTCTCTAGCTAACATCAGTTTACTGTTAAACCTTACAAGTAGGCTTAAAGTGTGATTGAGCATGGTTTATAATAAAACGTATCTTTATAAATATATTGATTTGTCCTCGTTTTCCATCCTTTATGAGGGACAGTACTATACCCTTAATGTTCACTTTTACATTTCATTTTATGTATTAGGCAGGATTGAACTTTCACTTTTTAAAACAGCCAGGGTCGCAAGTAAAATCTGATTAGAAAGGCCCGTAGCTAGGGGGGTTCGGGGGGTTCGAAAGAACCGCCCCTCTTGCTGGGAAAAGGTGCACTCTGGGTAAAATTTGATCTAGTTACATGAAGTTTTTATGGGAAAAGATCCACTTTTTCAGAAAAAGAACCCCCCTTTTGAAATTTCTGGCTACGGGCCTGTTAGATAAGGTTGACTTTCAATACAATAGAAGAAATATGAAGTAAGTGAATATGATCACACAAAAAGCAAAAATACATTATATGCTGATATGTAGACCAGTTTCATTATTTTTCATTCAACCCGGCTTTATAAAGATTTCCTATAACCAGTGACACAAACATTGACCAAGGGCAGAAGACAAAATGCCTGCAGTCGTGTTTCTATTTCTTTATCCTGAGCATAGAGTAAACACAATACAACTGTGTCAACAAACATTTTGCATTATTCCTCAAGCCCTGCTAACTGCTCTTGTGAGGTCAACTTTAAGGAATAATCAGTCGTCGGTACTTTTCTATACCTTTGAGTAAATAAACAACGGAGAGACTTAGCATATTGTAAATTATATGTGCAGTTCTAAATAAAAATGCAAAAATACAGCCATTTTCACTAAATATTTCTCTGCAATAGATGTGTCGGGCATTTAAACTGGATAGGTTTCTTTCACTCAAAGCAAGACAGAAATACCTGCCCACGTACATGCCTTTTATAACCTGACCTAAAGTGTAAACGCAATACAATTGATCCATCAGTCGCCACACAATGGGTGAATATATTGACCTTACAGTTTCCAGGGTGAGGTCCTCGTCAGGTAATAAACAGACGCCATATACTTTGTGCAGCCATAAACGGCAAAGAGAAAAACAGGGGCATACATTTGAAATCATTTGCAAGAAAAAAACTAAAATGACGTACAATAGTCCAATTGAAAGGGTACATTGACTAAATATACCGTGATCTCTGTTTATTAAGACTTACCAAAGCTGCAACACCAGAGTGTACCGAAGTAGAGGACTGATAATCACTAACAATTTTGGGTGAGTGTTAAGACAAATATCATCGCAACCAGCTTCGTACATTTTATACACAAAAAAGAGACTATCAGATATGGCAGAAGCACTAGCAGCAGATATTAAAAAGGATATCTTGACATGTAGCATCTGTCTGGGAGAGTATGAGGACCCCCGTGTGCTGTCTTGCTACCATACATTTTGCTATGGTTGTATATCTGACCATGCCGAGAGAAAAGTAACCTCAAACAGAAAATTTCCATGTCCTCTTTGCCGACAGGAAATCCAGATTCCAGATGGCGGCCTTACTCAACTGATGAAGAACTTTCTCGTCGGCAAGACAAAGGACATCATAACCCAGCAACAAGCAAGACAGACATTAAAAGAGGAACAGGCCAATGTAGCAGCAGCGACACAGGCCATTGCACAGTTGACCCTCAGTTGTGAGAAACATCCCAAGAATGAATTACAGTTTTACTGTGAAGAGGATGATACTGCCATATGTGGTGAGTGTATAGCAACAGAACATAGTGGGCATCGCATTTCATCAGTTGATAAAATTATAAAAATGAACAGAGAAAATATCCAAACTGGTCTTGCTAAAACTATGAAGACCACAAATATGTTTAAAGATGCAGTTGCCAAGGAAACAGCCGGTGTTACAGATGACCTTCTTTCCCAAACTAAAATTATCACAGAGATTGAAAGTCAAGCCGAGCAACTTGTTAAAAGGATCAATTGCAGAAAAGAGAGATTGATATCAGAAGTGAATTCTGCTTATGATGTCAGAAAGAAAAAGAAGGAGGCAAACAATGACATCCTTGAATTCCACCATACTTCTTTGCAAAGTGCCTGTGACTTTGCCCAGCAACTGGTGACAAATGGCACTGTGCCTGATATCATGGTTCATGCAAAACCTCTAATTAAAAGACTAGCAGAGATGGAAAAAACGCCTCTCCCAACCCCAGATACACCAGCACAGATATCATACACTCCTGGTAAATCATCTACTACTCAACTAGAAGACATGCTAGGACAAGTAAATGTGCGGTCACAATCTCCATTGGATGTACGAGGAAGAAACCCAATACCAGTAGCATATTCTTCCAGACTGAAAGAACATTTAGAACCGGAGCCAATGCAGCGGACGTATCATATATTACCGCACTATTCTCCAGGACTGGAGGTCATGTTAGGAAAGGTTAAAGTACAGTCACAATCTCTATTAGCTAAGCGTGGAGCGTATCCAAGATCAGCGCCACATTCTCCTGTTTTCGTAGACAATGCAAACTGTGTGCATTTCTTCAATGCTACTCTGAAAAGTGATAGAAAAATTAACATATCTGGGTTGGCCATAGATAAGGAACTAGTGTTTGTTGTGGATAATAAAAACAACAGTACAAAAATGTTCACACATGCTGGAGAGTTCAGGACAGACATAAAACTTGACAATCCACGTGATGTGGCTGTTTCACAGACTGGTCAGCTGTATATAACATCAAAAGAATCCCAATGTGTCGAAATATACTCCACCAGAGGTCAGAAGGTGATGACAATAGGTCACCGTCAACTTAGTTGTATATGGGGTATTACAATGGACAAAATGTGTAATGTGATGGTTTGTGACAGTATGAAGAAATCCATCTTGGAATTCCACGCAGACAGTGGACAGCTCCAGAACACTGTTCGACTCAAGGAGTTTAAAAGACCCCGGTACATCACAGTGAACAGTGTGAATAAAAACATTGTGATATCAGACTTGGACAGACACTGTGTACATGTGCTGTCACCTTTTTGTACTCTGCTGTACCAGTATGGCACACATGGCAGTGGGCGTGGTGAGCTGAGTTCACCAGGTGGAGTGTGCACAGACAGCTATGGTCACATCTTCATTGCCGACACGGGTAACCACAGGATAGTGGCACTTAGTCCACAAGGAGAGTTTATCAGATACATTGCCACTGAGGATGATGGATTGGAGTGTCCGACAGCATTAGCCATCAATCCTGCTGGCCAGCTGGTTGTGGCAGAAAGACAGGGCAAGGTTAAGACATTCCAGTACTTACGGTAACTACTGATCACATTGTACACTGATGAAAATATATCAAACTGCTGATGTTTCTTAAAACTTTGTGTTATCACTGATGATGAAAATAGGTTGCAGATGTCAATTGTGCTGATGTTTATAAAAACCCTCATGTTACCACTGATAATAAGTATAGGTTTTAGGAACCAGAACTGGACAGCTATGATAGCACAGTGGAAAATCAGATATTTATATGTGATGCTCCGAACATGATAAAGTTTATTTGGTTCAAAGCTGAGTCACTGTGGAAGTGTTCTGTGCACACAAACTTGAATGAGGTCAAAAGTTAAAGATGTGTTGGCATTCATTAGATGTGTGAGAGAGATACCTTCCACAGTTGCCCAGCTTTTTTATTGTGCCAATATTAAATTGTTTTAATATAAATAAACCAATATAGGAGGGTGTTTTACGCAAACACTTGCTTTTCTGCGCTTAATTTGTTATTAGACTTGCCTTTTGTTTGTAATAAATATCCATTGTATTTAGTAAAAATTAATTAGTTATTCGTGTATGCCATATTATTTGTTGAAATGTCATGTAATAGATTAAGTTTTTTTTTTTTTTTTTTTTTTTTTTGCATCTGTTTGTTTGTTACATTATAACACAATGGTTACAACTGTAATTAATTAATTATAAATGTATCCTTCAGTTTAAAAGGAACGTAATGAACTTATTAGTGAAAGTATGTTTTTTATTATTTACGTGTAATTTTTTGCACGTATTTAGTTTATTTCACTGTAACATATGCATCCATCTGGGTGGATGAAAATGACAATATAAATATAATTTTAGTGAATATGCTATTAAACAATTATAATGAGTAAGGGTATTTACCTACTTAAAAAATGAACTCGAGTTTTAATTACTACTACTCAATTGCCGATGGGTGCAACACTGTCTTTTAGATCCCCCCTAGCAAAAGCGGAGGAGAGAAACTGAGTTATTTAAGCAATGAGGGTTTCTTCTTCTTGAGATTCCATAATGATAGTAAACTTTTCATCAGTGTGTATAGTGTTTTGTAAATTCCTTATATAATATTGTTCGCAGGTCATTGTATAGGGGGGGTAGGGGGACGCTGTGAGAAAGTATTTTACATCATCAATTTTGTCTATAGAACATTTATGGCATATTCTGTTGGACCGAAGAGTGTTAGTGCCTGTTTCAATGTGGAGTTTATGCCCACTGGTACGAAATCGACTTATTTTTTTTCTTTTATCAATATCACGATGAACGGCTTGATTTTTATCTCTTTTAAATGTATTTTGAATTGGCAATATAGGCTCTGGATTTAGATTTGTCCTCAAGCTTTCATATGTATCTAAATTTATTTTCCAACAAGAATCAAAATATTAATGAAATGGAAAGTATTATTAGAGTTAATATCGTTGGTCATTGACAGATACCATATATTAAAGGGTAAAGTTTAGCATCTTGAACTGAATATACAGAAGATGCTTAACTGATACTACTAGAATAAATAATCTAATTGGTAAAAAAAACTCCTGCTAATGTGTTATGTCGTTTAATGCAACGTATGGATGATTATTTGTGTTTAATTTTTGAATAAATGGCAATTTATAAATAACCAGCATGTATATATGCTTAAATATTTTTAATGGATTCAATTTCTTATCTTAAATGCAATTATTACAAGGTGGGTATAATTACAATTGATTAACCATTAAAAAATGTTTTCAGATACACACAAAAGGACTGAAGGAGAATAAATTAAAGAATGCATAACCTAATTAAAGCAATTTATATATATTTTGTTGATATCAACTTGTATTTACTTAAGGGATTTTTTATTGATCTTTTTGCATATGAGAGTAAAGAGAAGTTTCAAATAAAGATAATATGATGCAATCATATAACTATTGTTAGTAGTATATGTGGACCGCAGAAGCACCATTTGCTTGGATGTCCTGGGGGCCCCGTTACGTAAGTATTACGTAACAACACGTAATCATTTGCTTGGAGGTCCCCTGGGACCTGTTACGTAATTATGACGTAACAATATGTAATCATATATATATATGGAAGGGACGAAGTAAATAGTATTTGCTTGGAGGACTCCATGGGGACACCAAACTCTTAGTATTTCCTTGGAGGACTCTGGGGACCTGTTACGTAATTATGACGTAACAATGCGTAATCATGTTGCCAATGGAGACCTCTTATGGGATTATGACGTAATTATACAATGTTACGTAATGTTATATATTACATAATGTTACGTGTCAAGTAATCATTTCGCTTCATAGTCGAAACGTATTGTTTCAATATCAACCTATAGTTTCAACATCAATCATCATTGCAGCTGTTTAGAAATTAACAACATCACGTAATTCTGTTGTTTTCAAATTAATTACAATGGCCTCCAGACGCAACAGGATCGTTTCATGAATTAAGTAACACTTAATAATCAGACATTGTTTTAAATTCAATAAGCATTGCAATCGAATGCAACAACAAACGCAGAACAGTCTTTTCAAATTGATTCGTTTTTATTAATTGAATATAATACAAACTGTCTAAATTTCTAAAGGTGCAGTGGAGACACCATCGTCCAATACCACTCTCTTACAATAAAAGTAAGAAACGCAGGTGGACGTTTTGTATTTGTGACAGTAACGTATGTTCCTTTTTTGGGTTAAACGATGAATTATTTTTAATTATTCATGGTTCCAGGAGAGTGAAACTTTTATACAAGCTTCTTCATGTGGGACCCTAAAATAATCAAACACAGTTAGCAATCCGTGCAGTAAATATTTTTAATAACATGCTTGTGACATCAATTGCACCTCTATATTGGGTTTGGGTGAATTACACGAAAGAATAACAATGCTTTACATCTTAGTGAAACACACACACACAATATTTTTTCTTTTTACTAAACACTTGGTCGTTCGTTTGTATCAATAAACCAGTTTGTGGTATTTATCTCAATAGCTGTGTGTTTAATTAGAACATACTGATGAGAATTCAGTCACTGTAAACTGCATCGTAGGTCGCTCGGAGTCCTGATTCTGTAGCTTGGGGAATGAACACCTCATCATCTGTGATATCTTTTAGGAGCCTCTCTTCATCTCCTCCAACGCGTAAGATGACGGCCATGACATACAGGTCGTTTTTCTCTTTCACTTAGGTCTGGTAGTGGTCGTACGCTTTTAGGATGTTGCCTGCGTGTCGTTATGTAAATTTTTGCTCGCGTACTGGCCCCGATCTTTGTTTACAGTACGTAGTAACATGCCAAGATAAACTGCGTCCTAGGTCTAGGGTTCGGAACTAATTATTTGCTGGCGTACGATCGGACACTCAGTTACAAATGCACAGATCGAGTAATGCAAACAACGTACACGATTCATTAACGAAAAAACACACAAAAAGAACAGTGTTGTAATCTTTAAACAAGCAGATCGGAACACTGCCAAAGTACATGTATAATGTTTTCGAGCTATAGGCCCCTACTACAAAGAAATACCACCGACCATCCAGTGGTAATCAAAGTGTCACCATCGTAGTGCATAGAAGTGTGTGATGATGGTATTGTCTTCTACTTAGTTGCTAGAACACCCTTCAATTCCCTTTTTCTTGTCAATCTACTCTCCAAACCACTCCACATACTTTACTTCCTTCATGAATATCAATTACCTCTGGGACCAAGTTACGAGTTCCCCATCTATTTACTGCAACTACATTTAATTTATACAGTTATAGGATTTATGAAGAATTTATTTTATCTTATACACCATGTGTACATGTACATAACTATATTATTCGGTATGAAATCACACGATCAAGCACATTAAAAAACTACAACTTGATAACTGATATAATAATGTGGAGTGCTTTGGAGATTTTAAAACGAGCAGACAAAAATAATGCAATGTTCAGCTTTAAAAAAATGCTGATAATTTTTTTATATGAAAGAGAAAACACTCATAAAGACGAAGAGAAGAGCTATCTAATACTTTGCTTTGAATCAGAAAAAAATGCTGTTAACTTATCACTAGAAAGAAAGAAAAATACACTTTCCTTTTTGTTTTACATTAAGAACACCAGTGTATCATCGGAAGGAGAAAATGATGAAAAAACTGAATTAGTCCATTTCAACTCTAAGTTTTCCAAAGACAATACTGCACTTGATAGTATAAGAGTTGGTGATTCTTTTATAAAACCAACAACAGAAGTAAGGAACTTGGGTGTTATTTTTAATAACAAATGTGAAATGACATCACACATTAACAAAGTATGTAAAACAGCATATTTTAGTCTCCAACGGATATCCAAGAGTTTTCACCTTATTAACACCAAGCAAACTGAATTACTCACCCATGCATTTTTAACCTCTAGACTGGATTATTGCAATAGCCTATTGTTTGGAATACCTAACTATCAAATGGAAAAGCTACAATCAATTCAGAACTCTGCTGCTCGTCTCCTCTGTAAAGCTCAGAAGTCCGACCACATCACACCAATTCTGCGAAACCTCCACCGGCTACCCGAGTCTCAACGAATAGTTTTTAAAATGTTACTTTTGACTTTTAAGATTTTAAAGGGCGACTGTCCATTTTACTTAAACTCTACCATAGAACTTTTAACTCCTATCAGATCACTTCGATCTAGTGGACAACTTCAACTTAAGCGAAAAGACACTAAAAAGACTCTTAAGACATATGGACACAGAAGTTTCGAGATTTGTGCACCAATTTTATGGTCTAATTTTATCACAAGATCTAATGTGTCTCTGGATGACTTATATTACTGTTTTAAAAAGAATTTAAAAACTTTTTTATTTAAAGAATACTTTAATTTATAGCATCTTTTTAGTTTTTAAAATTAGTATTCTGTTTTTAGTCTATACTGGCTTTAATTTATGTGGAGTTATATTTGTTATGTAAACAGCGCTGAGACGCATGTGTAGCGCGGTTTTAAAGAAGTGTTTTATTATTATTATTATTATTATTATTATTATTATTATTATTATTATTATAAAAATCGGTAACTTCTTCATTTCTACTGGTGCAGCTACACAAAATGCTATGTCACCATATGTTTTTAACTTTGATTTGGGAACTTTTAGTAAAAGTTTGTCACCAGACCTCAGGGATCTTTGAGGGCTATAATGTTTGACTAGATAAATTACATATGGTGGAGCTAGGTTATAAAAAACAGCATGTGTGAAAACTAAAACCTTTAATAAAATTCTGGCCCTGACTGGCAGCCAGTGCAACTCCTTTATAATTGGAGTGATATGGCAATCCCTAGGCTGTAGCACTAAAACCGTGCTGAGATATTCTGGATGCGTTGTAATCTTTTGATGTTATCATCTGGACATCCATACAATACAGAATTGCAATAGTCCAACCTGGAAGTTGCCAATGAGTGTATATCAGTAGCAGCAGATGATTGATTCAGATATTTCCTTATGTTGCTAATTATCCGAATGTTGAATAAACAAGACCTAGTGATGTTGGAGATCTGTTTGTCCATTGAAAGTGTAGAATCAATGTATACTCCTAATTTTTTTTACATGGGGGGGGGGGGGATAATGCCATACTAGCTCCAATTGTAAGTTGCAGGTTGTAAGCAAGGCCCCTTTTGGAGGGTTGAGTAATGACCAAAAATTCAGTTTTTCCATCATTTATCTTCAATTTGTTTGAAATGAGCCAGCCCCTGAGATCTGATATGCAGTCAACAATCCCAGCGGGCAAATTATGTTGTTTTAACGTTGAAACAACGTTGAACCATAACGTTGAAAAGACATTGAATAAACGTTGGATTTGAAAGTTGTGTCAACCTCAGATAACAACGTTGTATGAACGTCAGAAAACGATGTTATATCAACCCCACCCAGCGGGAAATCTGCCTGGATGTGTTTAGCAGTAGGACATGTTTGATGGCTAAATATATGTAGGGTATAAATGTATTGCTTTTAAGTTAAAATTTCCAAGATTTAGATTAATATATATAATATATAGATTTAGATTAATATATATAACAAGATCACAGTCACCTCAAACTGTCTATCTATAACAGGTTACCAAGAACTGTTAACTCCATCACATTTACAGCAACTTATTCATCCTAGTGTTAGCTGGCCTTGCAAGCAATTCAGTTTATTGGAATGTATTTCTGAATAACAAGTAAAGAAAATGCACTAGTTAACTAAAGACACAAAACAACTGTCACTTTTACTTTAAAACCATTTGGTTATTATTTTGATAAAGTTAGTTTCAGTATTGATAAACAAAGTATCACGTTTTCAATAATTAATATTTAAAATCACAATCCATAACTGCAAGGTTGTGTCATTGACCAAAATACAACGTTAAGTCAACGTGGCTGGATCAATGTTGATTTAACTTTGAATTTAGGTAGATCAACGGCAATTCAACGTATCAACCGGTTTTCAACGTTGATCCAACGCAACTATGCCTGCTGGGATGGTGTTTACAGACAATACTGGATCATGGATGTTATAAGATGTGTACAACTGGGTATCATCTGCATAAAAGTGGTAACCTATCTTATGATAACGCAGAATTGCTCCAAGGGGTAACGTGTAAACACGAAACCTTAAAGGGCCAAGAACGCTCCCCTTAGGAACACCAAATAAAAGCTCTGAGAGTTCAGAAAGCAAACTATTTTGATGTATTCTCCCAACAAGATAGGATCGTAAAAGATCTAAGGCCTTATCTCTAACTCCTACACTCTGCTCTAGAAATGTCAATCAAATATTATGGTCTACTGTGTCAAAGGCAGCGGGCAAATCTAACAGTACCAATAGCATAGAAGAATGTTTGTCAACGCCACTCAACAAATCATTTTTAATTCTAAAAAGTGCAGATTCAGTGCTATGATTGAATTTGTAGGCTGACGGCAATAAGATTGTTTGCCTCTAAATGCTTAAATAGTCTAACTGCTATAACCCTCTCTACTACCTTAGATAAAAATGACAAATTGGAAACCGGACGTATTGGACATATGCATAATTGTTTAAGTTTTAATTATTCAAATGTATATAGACATGACAGTTTGCATGCAGTGAACTATTAATAGTATTGAGAGCTAATTTCCATATATGTAATTTACATATTCGTTAATGCAAATTGTGCCCACAATTAAATTTTACGGTCTTAAGGCATGGCATGTCACATGTCAATCATAGAAGTTAATCTAAAATGTAAATGAAGTTCATGTATAAAAGCAGTGACAGGGAGAGAGTTAGGGATAGTTACAGATACCACAGAGAGAGATGGTAGAAGACCTTGTGAAAACCAGGAAGTAGTTCCTAACTGACACCTGAGTCGTATCGATCCACAACAACTGTGAAAAGATGTATATATTTTTTTTAATATTTTGGCGAATTTTTTATCTTTATATGTCCATCTGACATGAAATTCCACACATATGCTTACACTAATACAGGGGCGGACAGAAAAAAATTTTGTCAGATTTTCGCAATTATTGACGAGACGTTTAACATGTTTGTGCATAACCGAGACTCACCAGTTTACATTTACCCCTGGAAGTACATTAAAATTTATATTAATTCACCAAATATTGAATACTTATGTGGGGGATGTCGGCTTCGCATCCGCGGACCCCCTCCTTCAAATAACCCTGGATCCGGCCCTGAAAGACATGGTAAAAATTAAAAATTGAATCAAGATTGAGACAGTAGTGGATTTTTGTTCTATACACATATTATATGTTTTAAAAAATTAAATACAACTTTGAATTCATTCAATTTTATTTATTGGTGGACAATTCAGCATGTGAAATATTTGTTTTGGGCTAGGTGTACCCTTTAACTATTGGCTTCTTTAATAGTGAGCTCTCCTCACATCAGCTGGTATCAATTGTCTTTTAGCGCAAAATGACACGACAGTCCAGGGAATTGCTTCCCTTTATGGTGTTCGTAATTTCCTTCGAAAGGCTTTATTAATATTCTTGTCTCTTTGTTTTTACTATTTTATTTGCACATATAACATGCAAATTGAAATGAACATTTTAAACAAACACATTTTAGAACATACCTAGTTAGACAGCTGAATGCTAAGTTTTTATTGTTCTTGATTATAATTTTCATTAAACAACTCTGACTCAGGCCTGCAGAATTTTTTGGTCGCGGCCTGTGATGCCGTTTTTGCCATTTTCTTACCTGTCCTCTCGTTTTTCCTAAAGAGAGGCAGTTGCTATGCGTCATGAAGTAACAGACGCAGTTTTGATATGGGGTATTTGAGGAAAAACGGGGAAGGAGGAAAAAGAGCGGATGTTTCAGGGATTGCATTAAAACATTTGCCAGAAAAAAAATGACACAACAGTGATCTAGTAAACGGGCATGCTTAGTAAGTTTTTTTTCTTTTTGTTTCTTTGATCAGCTGAAGCACCAGGAAGTAAATAAAAAAAACTGAGAATCCGAACCATTCAGACATGGCAGAAGCACTAGCAGCAGCTTTCACAAATAATCTCTTAACGTGTACCGTACATTTTGCTTTGTCTGTATATCTGACTATGCTTCGGAAACTGTATCTCAAGACAGGACATTTCACTGCCCCCTTTGTAGAGAAGAGATACAATTGCCAAGAGACGGACTCGTGAAACTGAAGAAAGATTTCCGCGTCCACAAAACGATAGAGCTTCTGAGTCAGAGAAAGCAGCATGAAGTCTCATCTCCAAGTAAAGAAACTGATGTGCATGGTGTGACACAGGTGACACAGGCCATTGCACTGATTACCATCAATTATGAGATACGTCGTAATAATCAATTAAACTATTATAAAGGTGGCGATATTGATATATGGTGTGAATGTATAGCAACAGATTATAGTGGTCATCGTATTGGATCAGTTGAGTTAGTTACAAAATGCAAAGATAAAGTTACTCTTGCAAAAGCCACGAAAAGAATCAACAATATTAATGAGGCAGTTGTTATGTAAACAGTAAATGAATCAAGCGACTTTCAAGTCAGGGCAGCCACTATAAAAAGCATCCAAAAACAAGCTCAGAAAATGCGCAAATTCATTGATCGGAGGGAAGAGACACTGATATCAGAGGTGAATTCTGCTTATGATGTCAGAAAGAAGCAGAAGGAGGCAAACAAGTACATCCTTGACCTCCACCGTGCCTCCCTGCAAAGTCCCTGTGACTTTGCCCAGGAACTTATCACGAATGGCACTACTCAGATATCCTACAGCCCTGGTGAGATATATGTCGCTGGACTGGAAGCCATGTTAGGACAGGAGACAGTAGAGTCACAACCTCCATTAGCTGGACTGGTAACAATTCCAAGATCAGCACCACATCCTCCTGTTTTCTTGGATAAGGCCGAGTGTTTCCATTCCTTCAATGCTAAGCTGAAAGGTAATAGAAAATTTAACTTTTCTGGGTTGGCCATAGATGAGGAATACGTGTTTGTGGTGGATAAAGGTAATGACAAAACAAAATCGTTCACACACGCTGGCGGGTTTAAATATGAAATTAAACTGCTTCAACCGCATGGTGTGGCTGTGTCACAAACTGGTCATCTGTATATTACATCAGTGGGTGACAAATATGTACAAGTGTATTCCACCAGGGGCCAACAGTTGACAACCATGGGTCAAGGTCAACTGGAGAAGCCATTTGGTATTACATTGGACAGACAAGGTCATGTGATGGTTTGTGACAAGGCAAAGAAGGGCATTTTCACATTTCATGCAGAGAAGGGACAGCTCCTGAGCACTATACCTCTCAGCATGTGTGAATGCCCAGTGTACATCACAGCGAACAGTGTGGATGATAACATTGTGATATCAGACTGGGGCATTGACTGCGTATATGTGCTGTCACCTACTGGTGATCAACTGTACCAGTATGGCGGGCGTGGTGTTGGTGAGCTGAGATTGCCACGTGGAGTGTGCACAGACAGCTATGGTCACATCTTCATTGCTGACTGGAACCACAGGATAGTGGCATTGAGTCCACAGGGAGAGTTTATCACATACATTGCCACTAAGGATGATGGGTTGAATCATCCTGTAGCAGTAGCCATCAACCCTACTGGCCAGCTGGTGGTAGCAGAGGCAGAGGGCAAAGTTAAAACATTCCAGTACCTACAGTAACTACTAATCAAATGGCGCACTGATAAAATTGTATAACACTTCTGTGGGAACCCCTTTTATTTCACTGGTCTCTTTTCTTCATAGTTACCTCTAACACTGCAGTCTTAGAATAATAAATCGAGCTTTCAGTACATCGGTAACTTTATGTAGAGAATAAATTCCAAATACATGTATATATTAGTAAAGAGAGTTAAGCAGAATATTGGCATCTTCATGCTGTAAGTATAAATATTTTCCAAACCGAAGGAATTATGGGAAGAATTTCTGCAGATGACGTCCCAAAAGTCATATGTGCAGATTTCAAATACACCATTGGATTTGACCTTTGACCTATATTCAAAGAAAAAACGGGCCAAAATTTCGAAAAATATATTGATTTTCACAAACTTCACAGACCTTACCTATAACATTATTGGCAGGTATTAAAAATAGCGACGGTCATTTTTTTTTTTTCCTAGGATATAGCTAAAATGTGCTCACAATTTTGTTTAGTTAAAATAATCTAAATAAACAGGCTTCGATCATATTTCTATTACATTTTTCTGTCATTGACAATTCCCCTATCATTGAAAACATTACAAGAGGATATTGTGCTAGATCCAATGTTGAGTTTCAACTGGCCTTTAAGAATTTCCTAAGTATCTTTTTAGTCCTAAGGCACTTAAAGGGGGGTATCTATGCGACAGGCCCGTAGCCAGGGGGGGTTTGGTGGGTTCGAAAGAACCCCCTTTTTTGCTGGAAAAAGGTCCACTCTGGGTAAAATTTGATCTAGGTGCATGGGGATTATATGGTAAAGAGTCCACTTTTTCAGAAAAAGAACCCCCATTTGAAATTGCTGGCTACGGGCCTGCGTGATTATTAGAATTTTCTTTTAAAATAGTGATGGAGTGAAAGATTAAAAGTTTTCATATTTAACACATGACATGGACGTCCCGTTATCGAAATCTATCCCAAAACTAGAATTAATTAAGAAAAAGGGGAAAAAAGAATCCGTGAGTAGTCACCGGTACTGAAATAATCATTAACACCTACATAATGCCTACTCCTGTCTATTCCAATTTACAAGGCAGTTACACGACCTTAGATTAAAAGAATGTTGGCATTGTCGTGCAATTTATACTTTCTCGGAAGACATTAAAAGACGTGAGGTATTAAAATACATGTGGGAATAAAATAGAACTATGGTAGAACAAAGGAGGCACACTTATGCTTTAATTTTTATTGCACCGGAGGATTAATCCAGAACACTTACACATGGACGAGAACGTGATTTGTGCCTTCCCAGAAGGAATGAGCTTTAGTTCTGAATAGTGATTACCCCAAAAGATTTCTTCATCATTACCTTTTGAGATGTACATATTCAGTAGTGGCGGCCTTTTTTTCCCAGAATGTGCTCACAATTTTGTTAAATTAGAAATAATTTAATAAAACAACCTTCGATCATGTTTCTATACATTTTTCTGCCATTTACAAATCCCCTATCATTGAAAACATTACAAGAGGATATTGTGCTAGATCCATTGTTGAATTTCAGCTGGCCTGTAAAAATCTGCTAGATATCGTTTTATTCATAAGGCCCTTATCTACGTGATTATTAGAATTTTTCTTTAAAAATAGTGATGGAGTGAAAGATTAAAAGTGTTTATATTTAACACATGACATGGACGTCCCGTTATCGAAATCTATCCCAAAACTCGAATTAATTACGAAAAAGAAAAAAAGAATCCGTGAGTAGTCACCGGTACTGAAATAATCATTAACACCGACATAATGCCTACTCCTGTCTATTCCAATTTACAAGGCAGTGACACCACCTTGGATTAAAAGTAATTTGTCATTGTCGCACAATTTATGCCTTCTTGGAAGACATAAAAAGACATGGGGTATAAAATATAGGAGACTGATGAAAGAGGAAACCCGTTATACTGAATATTTGATTAANTTGAGGTCACTTGATGACTGCCGCAGATACCCACCCTGTCAATAGCCTTATAACTCCACTAGTAGAGCACCTTAGATAATATCACTGATATTTACTGAAAATATGGACAAGGGGCCTACCATAAATTAAATCACTGGCGTGGCCTTTTCCCTACAAATTTTGCAACAGCGACGCAAATTCTTCTATTTTCTGGCTACATTATCGTAAAACATTTTTGCTTCCCACAGATTCGATTTGCATTCAAGAATGTTTAAGTTAATTCCAACATTAGTTAGGGACTAATTAACTGAAATAGTCTTCTGTAGTTTTTATTTATTGATTCCTGGATATTAAGTATATGCTAAGTTCAAATACGGGGGGTAAACATGCATTCGAAACTAAATTCGTGTAGGCGGCCATGACAGTTTCAAGTAGCAGTGGTGGAAAACGTGCGATGAATGCACTGCAGATTTTCCTAATTTCAAGCAGCAAAGCGCATACTTTGTTGTTCTGTAGACCGTTACAAAGACGGAAAGGTTGTGCGATACTCAGGAGATACGACTGAGATGATTGGGGTCACCTCCCGATGCTAAAAGTTACATGCAGAGTGAGAAGCTAATGAGAGGGAATGTCATCATCAGAGGAAATGGAGAGTGAGCTCGACTCAGTCGTGTGTCCAGCGTATCGTCACATGCTATGGATACTTTGGGGAGCTGCAAGAACACGTCAACTACTTCTTCGAACCAAGTTATTATTGTAGGACTTTCCTTGCTCGGACCAAGCGGGAGCTTTCATGCACAGTGTATCCAAATTTTTATCAAGACGAAGCCAAGATATTCAGTTCGTTGGGCCCAGGTTATTAAAAAGTTGACATTCGTCACATCTTTATAATTAATTAACACACCGAATTCACATACAGACAGAAGGTTGATAATGGTATGATATCTGTGTTGTTTGAATTAAATATGCATAGTAATTAGACAAGTAAAGCTAAGTCGTCATCTAAATACTGCTATCTCTGACCCTCAGAACCACAGCAAATTTGTTATTACGTAAAGTGAAAAGAGCTTGTGTTTGTACTGTACATGTTAGCAGTGTAAACTTTTTTGTTTGTATGAGCAACAAGTTACAGAACCCTCACAACTAAATAATACTGCTTTTGTAGATCATTGCTAGTGATTGAAAGAGTAACAATCATATCACAATTACATGAATAATATATATATATATA